GTAAATGGGTAATTGATGAAGTTACTTAATTCTCTTAACAGTGATGACGAGAAAGGTTGTTAGGCCTAGAACGATCCAAAATCAAAACCATAAGTAAAATAAAACATTTGTATTGAGTCGTTTTATAATGTAGTAATTATTTAGTCATTTAGATCAAGATTTTATTTACAGTTATTTCGTTATCTCACAAACTACACGGTCCCTTTGACCATTCTATTCTCACCGTGATCTCGTCTTCCGTCTCCCCGACTCCTATTATTTCCATTTTGTCATCTGCACTTGCTATGACTTTATATGCTCCGCTCCCAACTCTTACTTTTTCCTTTTGTTTACCCAACTCATACTCTTTCAACATGTTTAGTGTTTCAATGTCACATAATACGACATATTTCAAAGTATATCTCTAACACGAAGTCCGAAACGAACCCAACACAAAAAATAAACGAGATGACATGACGAGTCGCGTTAATCAAACAAGTCGGGTTAGGGTCAAATAGTTTCAACCTGTTTGTTGTTTCGACATAACACGAAACAGCACAACACGACACGATTGTCATGTCTACCTACAAATATCCTAAGAGTATTTAATAGATAAATTAGCTTAGAAACAAATGTGAGGTTTTAGATAACATAATGAATATAGTAAATTTTGTAATTTGTTTTATTGTATTTGTGTATGCCACTATGATCATTTTTACTTAAAAGGACTTGTTGGTGAACTAATCTACTTGAAGTGAGCCCATTACATAAGCACAAGTGTACCCTTACTATAATATTGTACTTTCAATATTCTTTGATTTATTTACAATATGCATAAACTATATGGAATACTATAAATAGTACATCGTGCATTCACAAAATGACTTTTACAATACGTTGTCAAATTGGTCAAATCTTATTGTTTTGAATTAGCTTTTGAACATGGTGATATGCATCCATTTTAAGATGCCTTTGTAACTTGTGTAGTTGTGTGACCGTTTGAGGTTTAGATACCCTTGTGTGGTACACATGATGACTCAAGACGTACACGTTACTTTTTAATGTTTCATCAAAGATGATGATGTTGATCCTTGTAATTGAGGAATTAACTATGTTAATGTTGTTAAGTGTTAACCAGGATGTGAATTTATGTTTGAACTTAAGGTCTTTGGAAATTAGATTAAAAATATTCGATTTGAATAGCAAACGGGTTTTCCATAATTGCCTAACAAACATGTTGAAATTTGGTCGATTACCCGTTTTCGAAAATGGCCTAGCGAACGGTCTGTGTAATCCTCCAAGATCAACATATAAATTTTTTAACTTTTATAATTCAAGTCTGATGATCATGCGTTTCTACTTATGCTTACATATGAACATTTATAAAAGTATTTAAGAGATAAAAGAGCTTAGAAGCACCTATGAAATTTCAGATAATATAACAAAGATATTAGAGTTTGTAATTCATTCAATTGTATTTATGTAGGCGATTATTGATCATTTCTACTTGATAGGACTTGTTGGGGGACTAATCTACTCATCAAATGAGTTCATAACCTAAAACACACATGCCTTAATATAATTTTGTACTTTCAACATTCATTCCTTTATCTACCATACGCATAAACAATGTAGAATAGTATACAATACTAGGTGCGTGAAATTCACGAATGAATTTACAAAGAGATATGAAATTGGTCAAACCTTCTTGTTTTGAATTATGCTTTGATCAACGAGTAAAATGATCTTTGCATGTTTTTCTAGTTTGGCGAGAGTATTTATTTGGTCATGTTCATATATATGGGGAACATACTTTTTACCTTTTTGGAAACTATGCTTCTCAAATAGAAGAGACAAGGATTTTCGACAATCAATCAATCAAGAACTTTACTTTCCTTCTTTACTTTTTAGAAAAGATCTAATTAATTATTTTTTTCATTTTTTCCACTAATTTTAAGATTCAAAACTCGAAAACGATACTAATGATAAAGTATTAGAAAGCGCATGCTCACACACACACACACCACGTAGGGATATTATAACTTGATCCATTTTTAATTAAAATTTCATGATCTACTATCCAGAATTCATTAACTTTTCTAAACTAACCACAAATTCAATGTTATTCGAACATTTTTATAAGAAGGAAAGCTACTTTGTCCAAAATGGTTAACTTCACTCATAATAAATTGATAATAATAATATATTCTTGCGTCAACATATATCGGTTTTAGCTACAATAAAATCTTTTTGTGGCAATTAAATAGATTGCTTTTCTCAGATTATCACGGATGCACCAAATGAAACACATGTTTTAGAAATCAACTACATGATAAGATCCAAAGATCCGATTACATATCCATTGGATAAAAAAGGTACCCATGAACACAACAGCATAGAAAAGCCAAAAACAAAGAAAATGATTAATAAAAGTTGAAACAGGAACAGGGGAACAACAACATTACATGGTGATTGTTGGGGATACGATACGAGATGAAGATAGTTTACTAGCTAGTAGCCTAGTAACGATGAGGATGAGGAGGTTGATGACGATCCATTCCGAAACAATGGAGGATAGGGTAACAGAGACAAGAGAAGCAACTCCCAATCAGAGAGGTCACCATTATGCAAGGGCAACAGCAGAATGACACCAGTGAGTTACCATGTGGACCATCATGGTCGGTATGGCGAGGCGGAGGGGGGTGATGATGTGGCGGTGGAGGAGGATGGTGAGGAGGACCATGGGAGCGCATCTTTCAGAACGTGTTCTTGATCGTCTTCTTCACTGAAACCTAAATTCAATTTTTGACCAGAATTAGAAGAGAGTACCAACTAATTAGTAAGCAAAATTATGGATACCATTCTGATCCTCACATAAAGCTCAATAGACGGAAATTTAAAAGACGAACGTTGATCCTCAATTGAGTATTATGACCTACTTCAGTTCGAATCTAAATCCAAAACTAAATCTAGAAATAATGAAATATATATGTCAGTCGAATTGGAGGAAACTCGATCCTCTTCTATAACTCAAAATCACCCACTGGCCACAGCCAATGGATGCCGATTAAAAAAATTTCTAGATATTTATTCAGTCGAAGAGAAACTTGATTCAGATGCTGAAAAATCAGAACTCGTATAATGATCAAAATCACAGGTGATGGTATGTTGCAGAAGCAATTAAAATCATCTAATAATAATATGGCTGAGAAAAACTTACCAACGAAAGAGATTTGTTTGGAATCGGTGGATCTGCAGTCGGTGTTGCTGTGCAGTTGTGCTTGTGATTTGTGAAAGAAGAT